GGCTTGGTGTTGCCATATACTGAGACAGGAGGGGCCGGCTGGGAGGGACAAGGGGTTTGAGGTGCCTGTGGGTCATCTGCATGGAGAAGCCGAGGACAGATGGCTACTCAGGTTTGAAGCCTAGAGGAGAGATCAGGCCTAGAAATACAGATGTGAAAGTGGTGTCAGGACACGGGCCACAAACTTAGGTGAAGTAGGTGGGATGAACCTCGAGTCTCATTCAGGTCTCCTTGCTACACAGTACCTTCTTCCCTTCCCAGATCACAACAGCTGCACCTTATCAGTCTAATTCCTTGCTCAAAGTCAGCTTTCATGGTAGACTAGCAGCAGACTGAGGGCAAGAACTGGATTTCACTTGCTATAAACATCTCTAACATCATACCTGGTGTGGGATCCACCCACAATACACATTTGCTGAAAGAATGAACAACAGCACGAGTCTACTGGATGTGAGGGGCAGCTGAAACAGAGAGCTCTGTGTCTTCATGTATCAATGCAGCTAAAACGGGAAGACAGCAGGACACACACTCTCTAGGTCTGGCTTACAGTGACTCCCTCTGTGGGTCCTCGCCCGAGCTGCCAGGAGAACGCCCCTACTCGCAATCCTTCATGGCAAGGAGTGTAGCTGTTCATGGAAATGAAACCAAGACACACATCCCAGGCCTGGTTTCCCCTGAATATCAGCGCCAGTGTGGATGATGAAGTGTAAGAAATGAGAAGACGTGGCTTTCAATTGTTCCCCAGTAGTGTGCTTGCAAGTGCCAATCAGTATTGAAAAGTTTAAGAAAAAAAAAAAGATAGGGAAACAATTTAAATTTGGGCCTTGATGTTTACATGTATTTTCAAACAGATAAAACTTAGGCTCAACTATGATTTTGGTGATGCTTCCTCCTCAATCTCTATACCTCAGGTTAGCTCCTTCTGCCATTGCCAAATTGGTCTTCTTCAAAATTTAGACCTTTTCGTGGCCCTCAGGAAACGGGAAGAATAGAATTGTGAAGAGAAAGTGAAAATGAGTTGTTCAATTTTTACACTTTAAATATGTCTGCCTGGACCCCAGATGACTTAGACATCAAATACTGATCTATATAGATTTCAAATCTTAGTGCTGGCCTTCAGGTTTGACCAGATGCCCTAAACTCTGACCTTGGGGTGTGACTAGAGGCAGGGGGGCAGTTGGGGGGGACTGGAGGCAGGGGGTGGTTGGGGGGTGACTGGAGGTGGGGGGCAGTTGGGGGAGGGACGGGAGGCGGGGGGCGGAGGGGGGGGCTGTAATTCTGGCTGGCGGGGGAATGGCTCCAGCACTG